GAGAGTTAATACCCTTCAATCCTGAAATCGAAAGGACTTTGAAAAGCAATCGAAAATCCCGATCGAAATCATCAAACTCTCAAGGAAAGGAAACCGACCCAAGCACACAACCAGTTCCAATGACAGAAAATCAGCCACCACCACGACCTCTAAAGGAGTTGGGAACTCCCGGGGCATATAGAGCTTCAAGTGGGATTGCTCCACCCACTACTGAGGCCAATGACTTCGAGATCCGGCCGGCCATGATCACCCTCATCGAGCGAAGGCAGTTTAGTGGTGCAAAGCATGAGAGCCCTTTGGCTCATCTGAATGAATTTGAGAAGTACTGCAACACTATCAAGGTCAATGGGGTGAATCAAGAGTTCGTGAGATTAAAGCTTTTCCCATTTTCACTCATCGGGAGAGCCCTCGAATGGTTAGAGAAGGAGGTTAAACTAAACACTCTACACACTTGGGATGATGTCACGACAGCATTTTTGGGAAGATTCTATTCTCAAAATAAAACGGCCGATGCTAGAGCTTTGATCCAAGGATTTCGGCAAAGGAGTGGGGAGTCAATCTACGAAGCATGGGAAAGGTACAAGGAGTACCAAAGAGAGTTCCCGCACCACGGAATTCCAACATACCAGGTGCTACAGATATTCTATGGAGGATTGAGTCCTCAAGGGAAGACCAGTTTGGATGCGGGAGCAGGTGGCCCCATTATGAACAAAACCGAAGAAGAAGTCATTGATATCATAGAAGATGTGGTACGACACCACATGGATTGGCAAGATGGAGAGCGGGAAGCTACAAGCAAGAGTGGAGGAACGGTCTATTCGATAGATCACCTCAACGCAATTGGAAATTTGACATCGCAAATTGCCAATCTAGGGAAGGAGATGTTTATTATCAAAGAAAATCTCGATGCCCCACCGCATCAAAATCTTCCATCCCATTCTAAGGGAGCAGGTACGAATTCTAACTCCTATAATATGCCTGCTGGATGTACTTTCTGTGAAAACTGTGGATCCTATGATCATGATACCTCTGCCTGTAACTTAGATTCCCAATTTCAAACTAATTGTAATGATGGTAATGATTGTGATAATGAAAAAGTCAATGCCTTGTCTTATGATAATAGACCTAGGAATGACAATAACAGATATTTACCACCAAATCAAAGAGGGAACAATTATAATCAACAAGGTAATAATTTTGATAACCAACAGCAAAACCAGTGGGGAAACAGGAACCAAAGGGACCAAAATCCCCAAGGATCCTATAATCAACATGGTAACTTTGGTAATCAAAATCAATACCAACAAAATGCAGGTAATCAGGGTAATCAAGGGCAATACAATCAAAACATGAATGCCAATAACAGGGGAAACTGGAATAACAATGGTAACAGGAACTTCCAAAATCAAAATCCCCAACAATCTAATGTGCGTGGTTCTCGAGCTCCTAATGACAATTACTATGCTCAAGGACCACCGCAGAGGGCTAGTTTGGAGGAGATGATGGAAGCACAGTCTAAAATGTTCAACACTTTCATGGCCACTAGTGATAAAAAGTTTAGTGAAGTGATGACACATAATAAGATGCTTGAATCCCAGATTTCTCAGTTGGCTAGTGCTATAAAAGATGGGGTTGGAGTTTCAAAACTCCCGCCTCAAGGTAGTGACCCTAAAAATTCTGTGAATGCTATCACCACTAGGAGTGGAAAGACTTTGATAGGGAGCGATAATGTAATACCACCAAAGAGTCAACCTGTGACTCCACCTATCACTGATAATGTTGTAGACAGTGAGGATGAGAGGACCAAAGAGAATGATAAAACTATTGAGGTCCTAAAAGAAAAGGAAGGTACACAAGTTAAAGAACCTAATCTATTGCAAAAACTTCCTTACACCCATAAGTTCGTGAGACACAAGCTAGATGTCCAATTTGGTAAGTTTTTGGAGACTTTGAAACAAATTCTCCTTTCCATACCATTCACCGATGCTATAAAGCAAATGCCTAACTATTCTAGGTTTTTGAAAGATATTTTGAGTGGTAGGAGGAATTGTGATGGGGTGGAAACTGTTAACCTCACTGCGAATTATAGTGCAATCATTATGAACAAAATGCCTCCTAAATTAGGAGATCCAGGTAATTTCTTAATCCCTTGTGCTATTAATAAAATGAAAATTGATAATACATTATGTGATCTTGGGGCTAGTGTTAGTCTTATGCCATATTCTGTATATCAACGTTTAGGGGTAGGAGAACTTCTTCCTACCAACATTACCCTGCAGTTAGCTGATCGTTCGATCAAATTTCCTAAGGGTAAGGTGGAGGATGTTCCCCTACGGGTTGGGAAATTTGTGATACCTGTTGATTTTGTGGTTTTGGAAATGGATGAGGATAATCATATACCCATTATTCTTGGACGACCTTTCCTAGCTACCTCAGGTGCTCTCATTGATGTGAAGAGTGCTAAGATTTCTTTAAAGGTAGGAGAGGAGGTCCTTGATTTTGATTTGAATAAAAGCATGCAATATCCATGCTCTAGTTCCGAAAACTGCATGATGATTGACACTATTGATTCGATTGTTTCTAGTATGCATACACAATTTCTCTCTTCTAACCATGATCTTGAGCCAAGTGATACCGAGGAGGACAGGGACATGGAAGAGCAATTTCTTGACGGAGATGAAGGAGAACACAAGCACATGGAGATCACAACCAAGTATGCTCTTGCTATAGCCGCTGCAAAAGAGGTAAATGAGGCCCCTAAGGTAGAATTAAAACCTCTACCAACACATCTAAGGTATGAATTTCTTGGTCCTAATTCAACTTACCCTGTCATCGTGAATTCTTCTTTAGATGCGGATCAAACTCGGAAGTTATGTGATGTATTGAGAGAGCATCAAAGTGCCATAGGCTATACCATTGATAACCTCAAAGGTATTAGCCCTGCTATATGTATGCATCACATAACTCTTGAGGATGGTGCGAGGCCTTCCATAGAGAGGCAGAGGAAACTTAATCCTCAAATGGGGGAGGTGGTGAAGAAAGAAATCACCAAACTCCTTGATGCATGTATCATCTTCCCCATTTCGAGCTCTAGATGGGTTTCCCCTGTGCATGTTGTCCCTAAGAAGGGGGGAATGACTGTGGTTGAGAATGAAAATGGTGAGCTCATCTCAACTAGAACAGTAACCGGTTGGCGGATGTGCATAGACTATAGACGTCTAAACGCATCTACCAAAATGGACCATTTTCCCCTCCCATTTATTGATCAAATGCTCGAAAGACTAACTAGGCACAAGTACTATTGTTTTCTTGACGGTTATTCAGGGTTTTTCCAAATACCTATCAACCCCGATGACCAAGAGAAGACAACTTTTACTTGTCCATATGGTACATTTGCCTACAGGAGAATGCCTTTTGGACTATGCAATGCACCGGGCACCTTTCAACGGTGTATGATGAGAATTTTTGGGGACATGTTGGAAGCCGAGATGGAGGTTTTCATGGATGATTTTTCAGTTGGAGGCACGTCTTTTGATGATTGCTTAGTGAACTTGGGAAAGTGCTTGCAACGATGTGAGAAGGTGAACTTGGTCCTCAACTGGGAGAAATGTCACTTCATAGTAGAGGAAGGGATTGTCCTTGGTCACAATATCTCAAATGCCGGGATAGAGGTGGATAAGGCGAAGGTCGAAGTCATCGCGAAACTACCACCACCGGTCAATGCAAAAGGGGTAAGACAATTTCTAGGGCATGCGGGTTTCTACAGGCGGTTTATAAAGGACTTCTCTCTCATAGCCAAGCCTTTAAATGCCCTACTTCAAAAGGAAGTTGATTTCAAGTTTGATGAAGAGTTCTTACATGCTTTCAACACACTCAAGAAGGCTTTGATCTCGGCTCCGATAGTGCAAGGACCAAGATGGGTCCTACCATTTGAGTTGATGTGTGATGCAAGTGATACGGCTATCGGGGGTGTTCTTGGGCAACGAGTTGAAAAGAGGCTTCACGTAATCTACTATATGTCAAAGACCTTGAATGAAGCACAAAGGAATTACACCACCATGGAGAAAGAGTTCCTAGCCATCGTTCATGCTTTTGAAAAGTTTTGGGACTACCTCATTGGTTCGAAGACAATTGTTTACACCGACCATGCCGCTATCAAGTACCTAATTTCGAAAAAGGAGTCCAAACCACGTCTCCTCCGATGGGTCCTTTCTTTGCAACAGTTTCATGTGGAGATACGGGACAAGAAGGGGGCCGAGAATGTGGTTGCGTATCAACTTTCACGCATGGAAAGGGAACAACAAGATGATGATGGGGTGCCCATTTGTGATGAATTGAAGGATGATGTCTTGTACCTCATTAAGGAGAAGGGACTGCCTTGGTTCGCGGATTTGGTAAACTATTTAGCTTGTGGGGAGCTCCCTCCCGAGTACACCAAGAACCAAAGGAAGAATCTTAGGAGAGACACTAGACACTACATTTGGGATGATCCGATCTTGTTCAAAAGAGGTGTGGACGGTCTACTAAGAAGGTGTGTTCCGGATGAGGAAACTCAAAATGTGTTGAGAATGTGCCATTCCGATCCTTGTGGAGGTCACATGGGGGCTAACAAGACGGCTCAAAAGGTTTTGCAATGTGGGCTATGATGGCCTCACATCTTTAGAGACTCATGGGCGTTTGTGAAGACATGTGATACATGCCAAAGGAGTGGAAACGTTTCTAAGAAGAATGAAATGCCCTAGCAACCCATACTTGAACTTGAAATATTTGATGTTTGGGGCATAGACTTCGTGGGACCTTTCCCTTCTTCTCGTGGGAACCAATACATACTTATGGCAGTGGACTATGTGTCAAAGTGGGTGGAAGCAATCGCCTCCCCAACAAATGACCACAAGGTGGTAGTGAAGCTCTTCAAGAAGATTATATTTCCAAGGTTTGGGGTTCCTAGAGCGGTTATAAGTGACAACGGGTCACACTTTGTGCATGGGGATTTTCAAAGAATGCTTCGCAAGAATGGAGTCCATCAAAGGTTCAGGACGACCTATCACCCTCAAACTACTGGGCAAGCGGAAGTCTCCAACCGGCAGATTAAGTCCATTCTTGAGAAGACGGTTGCGAATAATAGGAAAGATTGGTCCGACAAGCTCGATGATGCACTCTGGGCAAACCGGACAGCTTTCAAGACTCCCATTGGCACTACCCCATACAACTTGGTCTACGGGAAAGCATGTCACTTTCCGGTCGAATTAGAGCACCGCGCTCAATGGGCAATCAAGAAGATAAACTTTGAGCTAGCAAGCGCGGGGGAGCAACGGATGTTGGAGCTTCATGAGTTGGAGGAACTTCGAATGGAGCGTATGATAGTGCGAGCCTCTACAAATCGCGATCCAAGGAGTGGCATGACCGGAAAATAGAGCGAAAGGTGTTCAATGTCAGGGACAAGGTCCTCTTGTACAATCCTAGGATGAAACTCTTCCCCGGTAAGTTGATGTCAAGATGGAGGGGACCATTCACCGTCAAGGCAATTCTACCTTCCGGGGCGGTTGAACTCTATGATTCGAGTGGATTGCAGTCTTTTGTGGTAAATGGGCAAAGATTGAAGAGATACTTTGAAGGAGCCCATGTTGGTGTGATTGATGTATTCAAATGCGGTCACAAGTGTTGAATGTGACCACGTCAAGCTATCGACGTTAAACTTAGCGCTTCCGGGAGGCAACCCGATTTTCTTGCTTTTTCTTAGAGTAGTTTCTTTTGTTTTCCTTTTTATTCGTTTAGCTCCTAATTCGCTTCTCTTTCGTGTGCTATATGTATGTCTTTGTGTAGGTAAAGGACTAGTTGGAAGTCGGAAAGATGGGAGTGATGCATGTTTTAGAGGAAGAAGAAGGACTGCAGGCTGCAGCAGACAACACGGTCGTGCCATCAGACAGCACGGCCGTGCCATCAGACAGCACGGCCGTGCCAACAGACAGCACGGCCGTGCCAACAGACAGCACGGTCGTGCCAGATTCAGCACGGCCGTGCCATCAGAAGCCTTCTTCAGCAAAAATTCAGCACGACCGTGCCAAATTTGACACGATCGTGCCAAAACTCAAAAAGCCTACTGACATGCCAACACGGCCGTGCCAAATTTGGCACGACCGTGTCAAAATATTGCGAAAAATTGCTAAGTACTCAGCCAAGTAGCACGACCGTGTCAAATTTGGCACGACCGTGCCAAAATGCAAAATAGCACGGCCGTGCCAGATATAGCACGGCCGTGCCATCTGTTGAGCCAAATAGCTAAAACACACTGCCATGCCAACACGGCCGTGCCAAAATCAGCACGGCCGTGCAGCTCGGGAAATTCTCAGAAATTCGCATATTTTAAATCACTTTTTCCCCAATCTCTCCTTTATTTCCCCAATCTCCTTATATCATCCTTCACACTTTCATACCCTTTCTCTCTCTAGCAAACCCTAACCCCCAAAATTCTTCCCCAAATCCTCACAACAAACCCTATTTCGCACAATTCTCTTCAAGATTTCAACATCTAGCATACATTGAAGCACTCCTCAAGCACGTGGAAGTGATTTTGGTCCCCCTAGATTTTCGGCACATCACAAATTCGTGGAGTATTGGTGAATTCGTTCTACACTCTTTTGTTTTTTTTTTTGCTGTTTCTTGTCCAATTTCATTTGTTCTTATTGATTATTTGCTATTGATTAGTGTTTCTTTTCCAATTATTTGTGTGACTTAGAGATTGTTGTGTTTAGGTGCATTGCATTCTAGGTTTAATTGTTTAGAGTACCTTCTTGTTGAATCATCCGTCGATTGTGTTCTTGCATTGTTTGGTTTAGGTGTAGTCTCTTTGCTATTTAGTGATTTGTGCTTAATCTAATTCACATAACAATGCCTAGGACTAAAACATCTAGTAGAAGGTCGGGTCGGGACGAAGGGCCCTCAACCGTGGTTCCAACACCGGTGGATACCATGGGGATTGTTTTTGGCAACCCGTCCTTCATGGACAAATTTTTAAATTTGTCCCTTCGACCGATTCGACCTACAAAATTCTACGACCCTTTGGCCGCTAGGGCCTTAGGTATAGAGAACGACATGATTCAATTATTTTCGTACACTAATTTTGATTCTTTCTTGAACATGCATGCACTCACCTATAAGAGGCCTACCCTCGAGTTTTTAGCTTCTTTGTACGTACACCGGGATGAGAATAACTCACCCCGGTACTTGTCCTTCCAATTAATGAACTCGGGCACTATTCAAATGTATGTGGCCCAAGTTAATGCTGCCTTTGGATGGCAATCCGACCTGAAATATGGTCCTAAGGATGGCCATTCCAAACACTATGAGCCGGGTTCATTTTGGCGTCAGATTACGGGGAAGGTAGATAGGGACCCCCGTAGGGATAAGGCGACCTTCATCGTCAATCCTGCATTTAGATTGTCTCATAGGACCTTTTCCTCCACTATCTTCGCTAGGGAAGATAGTTCGGGAGTAGTCTCCATTAGGGAGCTACAGTTTCTATGGCATCTCACCCGAGGGGATGGGAGGCTAGACATGGGGGCGTGGTTAGTTGACCACCTAGATGAGGTAGCCCGGGGGAGGGGCGATATTACCATAGGTGGCATGATCACCATACTTGCCCAATTTAACGACATTGATTTCTCTAACTTGCAGGCTATTCCAGGGACTACGAGATTAGATATGCGCACCCTGAAAGCCATGCAATGGCTTGATGGGACTACCATGCCGGACTGTTACTTATGGCTCGTCGGAGGGAAGCCATATGCCTACCTCCCCGATCCAGAGAGGACGATGGTCTACAACATGGAAAACTGGATCTTCGTCCCCGACTTCATCTGGCATGAGGACGGGAACACGGAGTATATCGACCGCAATCCACAGGCTCACCCTAGAGATAAGCAGGCCCATGGGGGCCAAGGAGGTGATGATGTTGACGATGATGATGAGGAGGAGGAGGACGGCCCAGATGAGGCCCAGCAGATCCCGGCTCAGGATTACGCCTCGCTCCGCCAGGGACTTGATGATTTGAGGAGCGAGGTAGCGGGTTAACAAACTCGGATATGGCCTCCGCCTTCAGAGATCTGAAGAGGAGTGTTGACGACATGGCTTCCCTCCTACCTCGTGGCACGGGCGGCCCTAGCTCGTGATCCCCTTCCCTTTTTCCCTTACTTGCCCCTTTCCCACATTTGTAAGTCCTTGATGTGTAAACATTGAGGACAATGTTTGATTCTAGCTTGGGGGGGGGTCTTACTTATGTTTGTAGATAAGGGGTAGTTTAGTCTTTGATTGCTTTCTTTTCCTTGTAAAAAAAAGAAAAAAATACAAAAAGATTTACTGCTTTCTTAGGACTAACCTTAACTTGTTTGCTAGTATGTCTCTTCATTTTGCAGCTTGGGATCGTTCGAGAAGCGGCACGAGTACGAAGAACCAATTTATGGCCGCTAATTGGAGCTCCCGGGACGCAAATTTGGTGAGATCTTTCCCTTTTTCTCTTTGTGTGCGTTGGATAATTTAGTTTAGGAAGAAGTTGAATGGTTCGAGGATGTTTGATCGGTTCTAAGGAACCTGGGATCGTTGATGTTGATATCAATTGCTCACTTGTTTGTCGATTGGGATTATTATGTGATTTTTATGCCTCTTTATGTGCCATTTAACTTGTCTAGATTACTTAGTTGTATATATGTGTGTGATAGATAGGAAAAGCTTCTGTTATGAGGATGTGTAGTTTAGCTTATATGAGTTGCCTCATAGTCTTTTCTTATATTGTTGGATCATGATAAACTTGTCTAATTGCATAAACGTTTGGAATAATGCTCATATTTGGATTCAAAACGTGAATGAATGTGTGTGGAATGCCTATCTCTACTTAAGCCAGTGATGAATACACAGTTTGAGTCTATTTTTGATCAATGTAGACGAGTCTAGGCAAAAGGTAGCTAGATAGAATGTTGTTATCGTGTGAAACTCTAAGCCATTGAATTGTGGTAAGATGGAGTCGCTTTCCATTTGTGGATTTGATCCCCTTAATTGGTAGTTGTTTTGTTTTTGAATCCCGTGAGGTTTTATTGTTCTAGCCTTCATCATTCTTCTTGAGTGGCATATTTGGATCCTTGATTACGCATGTTTTGATCTTTGTGTTGACTTGTAGCTCCCAAGACCGACTTGACACTTTTAAGGGAGGAAGAGGGCACCTTTTTCATTTTTCTTATTCTTGTTCCTTTTGTTTTGTTACAAATTAATTTTCTTTTTACATCATCTTACTTGCTTACCGTGTTGAGCCTTTAATTCCATTCTTGGTTACCCATGTTACAAACCCGATGGTCGATGTTTTACCAACCCTTAGTTGTGAAGCGTTTACCTCGCAAGGTTTGTTTGAGCTTATTGTGTATAAATCAAGAATAATGATCGATAGTTGGTTTGAGCAAGTTTGAAAGTGAGCTTAATTGTAAAGATGTAATATGAAAGTTTGTTTTTGAAAAAAAAGAAAAAAAAAAGAAAAGAAAAAAAAATAAAAAAGAGAAAAGCCGTCCGAATTGTGAAAAAGGCAAGGACATATAAATAAAGGCTTTGAAGTTTGAAAAAGGTGATTTGAGTGTGTATAACATAGAGAGTTTGGGATGTGTAAGAGTGTGATCAATGTTTATTGTGGAATGTGAATTGCATCTCTTGAGCTTTGTTTTTTAGAATCGTGATTCTTGCGCTTCATTTAGGATTTAACTCCACATTTTAAATTGTTTTCACCTACCTTACCCATTGCCAATACATTACAACCTTTTAAGACCCTTAGACTTTAGAGGTGTTCGGTTCTCAAACGGTGGAGGGAGATACTTTTCAACCCTATGGAAAGATTATGCGTAATTGAGATGTCGGGATACCTTTGTTATTTCCTCAAAATATCACTTTTTCTGGTTCCTTCGAGGAATCACGAGGGGGCCAATTAGGGTGGTTATTTGAAGCAAAAGGGGAGGACGTGGCTGTTTTGGTTGGGCTTAGAGAGAAGCATGATTCCTTTGTTCTCTATGCTTGGCTTAGGTCTTGTTCACATTTTGATCAACGATACCTTGGATTGTGTGTCTCGTTGCTTGTTTGAGTGAGTTTTTATTCCATGCATGGTTGTTCTAAGTAGGATCCGTTGACTTTATTCTGTGCTTAAACTTGGCTTATATGTAATGGCAATAGTTTATTTGATCTTGTGTGTGTGTTTATCCCTTAGTTTTGCTCGAGGACTAGCAAAAGGGTAGCTTGGGGGGTTTTGATAAGCGCACTTTAGGGCGCGCTTTAGAGCATATAGTAGGAAGATTTTGGACGTATTTAGGACCGTTTTGGTCGTTTATTGCCTTGTTATGCTTATATCCCTTGTATTACGTGCTTCACGGGTTTCGGGTTGTTTTTG